GTATTCTTCAGCATGAGTGTGCAAGACCACTTTCAACAATTTATAATGGTGCACCCAACCCTTATTGTCTTTCGGTTTCACATTGTCGTTAACTCTTGTGTTGACATAGGAGATTCCTGATTTTTTTTGAAAATGATCTGTAATCCCTTTAGGAAAYTCAAGTCCAGCCGGCAAGGATGATTTCTCATAAGCGAAAGGAAGCAAGATGAGAGATTCAGGATGAAAAACTTGGAATTCCAGACGCCACTTGTAATCCTTTGGGATCGATGTGGCATTTTCTTTTGCAACTCGAGCAGAACAGAGAAGACAAAGACTATTCTGGCCATGCCCGTCCAGTAAGGATTGGTAAGCAGTCTTGAGAGGTCTACHGATGTTGAGTKGAGTCTTAAGGTCTTTGACTCCAACTGAATTGTCCGTTACAAGCTCTTGGACCTTTTCCAAAAAATCGGCATCAACCACTTGGAGAGTCTGGCAAAATTCTTCTACCAACGATTCAGCAGAAGCTACGCAATCACGGAGATAATCTGCTCCCCCATCAGCATCGAACATGCGGTGGAACATGTGGTCAAAAGCCGTCCCCACAGATTCGTTGCCCTTAGGTATCCCACATTTTTCAAGAAAAGAGTTGATGGCTGCTTCTACCGAGGCCTTTCGGAAGGCCTTGAAAAATGCTTCTTTCAACGATTCTTCAGAAGCTAGGCAATTCTGGTGATAAGCTGATCCCCGATCATTGTGGCACATGTAGTCAATAGCCGTCACCACCACAGATTCGTTGCCTTCAAAAATCCCACATTTTTTAAGAAAAAAGTTGATGGCTGTTTCTGCGTTGTACAGTTTCAGACGAATTTTCTGTGTATTAGGCAGGTTTTCCAGATGACATGTGGAATCCTTCTTGAAGAACAGTGGGTCAGGAGGACGTTCAGGACTGAATAAGAATTGTGTTGAGGTATACGTCACCTTCATTTCTTTTTTGAGTCTTAATCTGAATCMAGATGATTTACCACGACAAGCATGTTCAAATTGAGGAGCACACTTTTTTGTTGGTCCGRSACATCCTGAAGTCTTCTGCTTCTTCGATGGTGATTTCATGCCATCCACATCATGAAGGCATGATGTTTTCTGATTCTTCTGACCACCGTTGACTTGGTCTAGCATCAGACCTGAACCATTTGG